AACGTATTCCATGGCAGTCTTCGTCTTCAAGATGTCGGTCTCAAAGCCTCGGCGTTAGCAATAGAAAACATCCAACTGTCAAGTGGTTGATTTTTAAAAAATTCCTGTATAACTGAGGAGCCAATTAACCGAAATGTCACCAGTTCATGTCGACACTTTTGCTGAATTGGAGTTTTAACCGGTTTGGAATTTGGGTTTTAGGGAGAGAGACAGCTGACCATCAAACATATGCGCAGCCAGAATGGGAATTTGGCACATCTCTGCGAGAAGAGATTTATGTCTGTTCACAATGCCAAGATCCTTGTATAAGGGTGGTGGGAAAGCTGGACAAGGAAATTCGCTTTAAAATGAGTTTCAGCCACTGTTGTTTCCGTTGATAAAAGCCTTCGTGAGGAATACGGAGGCAAAGAATTTGCCAAAATTAAGTGCTAATTTCACCAAGTGCACGTATGCTTCTTCAGTCCAGCTGAGACCCGTAACTTGTCAGTAAGTCGGCATGAAGATTAGTAAGGTTGAGTTCGCTTTATGTTACGCATAATAGAGCATTCTGAAGATTGCCTAAAAAGCAAAATGCATATTTCTGGCAGATAGAAATCAGCATTATTGACGCAGCCTACAAGGGAGCCAATCCGACGAGGGGAAATACGGCCAAACGTGTGCCAGATGGTCAAATGGGCAACACAGGCAGAACGCTAAGATATCGTAGTACCCATTTAAAATTTAATCATAGAGCTAGGTGTGAGATATTTTAGTTTGCGGTAGTTACCAAATGAGAGTATTAAAGCTCACATTTATGTAATGGCTAAGTCAGCTGTGGAATTAAAGTAAACCTGCTTACATTTGTAATCGAGTAGGTCAATTGATGTATTATTTTATCTTGTTTAAAAGAAGCCTTACTGTTGGCCACTACTATAATGCAGAGCCAAAATTACAATGTACGCCCATGAGGGTGGTTTCTCCAACAAAACTGTGTCAAATATTAACCGAACAGGCCACTGATCACACTATACTTAATGAAAATTTCGTCATTTCCCCTCTCATTACTAACGTTTAGTCATTTTCATAGTCACTTCAAGATTTGCAACTTAAAAAAGGACAAGATAGGCACTAAAAGCGAATTTTGTTTGTTTCGGTGCAAATTTGCTTACGCACCACTTGATTGGTCACGCTTATTTTCGTCAAGGAAACCAGCTTCTAGGACATGATAGAAGCCCAAATGTCTTCTGCAGTGAAGAATGTTGCAGAATACTGGGTGATATACCATTCATGGCTTACAGAGAAGTTATAAGATACCACAAACATTAAAAATTTACGACTGTAATGCTTGAGGTGATAATGGCACATCCATTGCATTCGTCTCAACAACGCAGCATAATATTTTGTCGATTTTTATGCTCTATGGGTGGCGCACGCCTTGGTGGCCATCTTGCACCACGACTTCTCTATTTTCGCCATACATGCATTGTCGCATTTTGGCTTCTATTTACTACCTCATGGGAAGTCGCTCGACACCACACTAATGGCAGCTAAAAGTATTTCCAAACTTGTTACAACTTTAGTCCTGGATTCCACCATTTTTGACCAACTCATACGATACGAATAAAAGGAATGTGCTTTGGGAGAAGAACCACTAACTCCTCCACAACAGGAAGGCTGAGATCAACGTCTGCGTTTGACATCCATCCCATCCCCGTGTTTAACTAGCAAGCACTTAGCAAGTGAAGTGGCACCACTGCGAACCATGGGGAACATGGTTGCATCTTTGCATCGTTTCCTCGCCTCCCCTCCTCTCCCCTCCCTCCATCGTTCGCGTATCCACGGTGGCCGTAACACCCTCTTTCCTATCACGAACCTGTTAAAGACCAGTGTGCTCCGACGTTTGGTGCTGGGTGCAATTGATGGTCGG